CCTTGTGCAAGGTGTCAATGATTGTCTTTTGGACAGCTGTTAAGTCAGAAGTCTTCCCCATGATTGTGGTGCCTTCAAAACAAGACTGAGGGACCTTTTAAAGGCCTTTGCAGGTGTTTTGAGTAAATCAGCTGATTAGAGTGGCAGCAGGTGTCTTCTATATTCAGCCTTTTCAGAATATTCTAATTTTTTGAGATACCAAATTTGGAGTTTTCATTAGTTGTCACTTATGAATATCAAATTTAAATGTAATGAACATTGGAAATACATTGGTCTGTGTGCATTGCATGAATATAATGTACAAGTTTCACGTTTTGAATGGAATTACTGAAATATTTTCAACCTTTTGATGATATTCTAATTTACTGGCCAGCACCTGTATTTGATTTCTATTGTAGAAAGAATGCCACGAGTGTGTTCAGCGGTTATATCTGCCAAAGGTGGCTACTTTGATGAGTCAAATGTTTAGAATACATTTTGGTCTAGAAATTGATTTCATGATTTCTTTTTTAACTCCCATTGCTTATTTGTACTATGCTTTCATTTCAGAGAGCAATGTGACATTAAACAGCATCATTTTCAATAAAAAATTGGAAAAACTGGAGCGTTCTAAAACATTTGACAGGTAGTGTACATGTAGCCAATCCTTAACTGCGTCCCTCGGGAGGCCCTTTGGGGGTACTTCTAGAGTGTGGGGCACCAAGCCCTCTGATACAGGCTGTCAGGTCCCTTTATGACCGGCTCATTTCTGGTGAAAGTTGGACTCCGCCAAGGCTGCCCTTTGTCACTGACTCTGTTCACAACTTTTATGGACAGGATTTCTAGGCACAGCCAATGTCATGGTCTGGGGTGTCCTCCTCTCTCTGCTAAACCTTCTCTGAGCTTCTCCTGCAGGTGGGCGTGACAAGGAGTGGACCAGCTGCAGTCCATCTGCTCATCAGTTGGCCAGGGACCTATAAACTGCTGGGAGACATCTTCATTCGCTGGATGATTAGCTCAACTTGGGTGGCAAAGACTGCGTTTCCTGGATTTTTTAAAGTTGCGGTGCACAGTTGTGAATCAGCCTTCTCCACTGTTAACATGATTAAAAACAAACTTCCCTCACAGCTGACTAATGAATCGGGCTGGGGGTAAACGATTACTCTGACGATTATTTTGTCGAATAGTCGACTATTCTGATGACTATTTAGACAATTAATCTAATGATTATTTTTCTATTGCACAATTAATAAAAGCCAAAAAAAAATCTCTAATAAATTCCTCAAAAAATTGATAAATTCTTACTGTAAGAGAATAAACACTACAGGCCTTCCATTTTGTAGAACACTGCTTTTATTGTGTTGCGGTTGGTTATGTTCTGGTGACGTGTAGAACTTATTATTCTTCCGGCGCTCATAGGGAGCAGACGCTTCTGCCTTTTCCTCCCTTATCTGTGTTTTCCCAAGGCTCTTTTGTCCCGTCTGCCTACAGAGCGCTTCTCTGCATTTCCTCTGCAATCACCTTTTTATTTTTCAATATGGACTTAATTAATTGGTCATTCAACGCGATTGATAAGATTTTTTCTACAATGAGAACGGAGGAGGGGGCTCACGCTTGTCCTCAGGGGACACATGCAGCGGGATATATGTTCGATTCCTGGAAAAAGTGGAATGTCATCTGTCTCTCTCAGCTGTCCATTGAGGACGTCGAAGATATGTGGATATTTGGCCTGATGATCGTTGGATTTCTTCTGATTGGAGTGGGAGGATATCTGGCTTTCCGCAAAATTGGGATGACGGGAGCGATTGGAGGGCGACCTGCAAGCATGGACGGCACCGTTTGTGTGGATACCTCACAGACTCGGACGTTGCTCGAGGTGAATCGCAAGCTGGACAATGTCTTAGCTGCGTTACCGGTGTTAGCGCGCAGGATTGATAACATCTCGGAAAGGGTCACCGGACGGTGTGGAGATGTTTAATCACTGAATTGGCTTCACTGGAGGACTTGAATGATCAATACAGACTTAAGGCAGAGAGGAAAAATTATCTCTGTCTGACCCAAACAAAGTTTCTGTTATCGAATCTGACGCCATAAGCAGCCTTGGAGTTGCATGCAAAAACCCCACGCTGGAAGGAATGCAGACAAATGCTGTGAATCTCTATCCACCCACCCCCCGCCTTCAGTTTGAGGTCTCCACCGAGGTCATCAAGCTAAGGACTCACTACTCTCTGTGCTTCCCCATGACCTCCCTCCCACCTGCGGAGCCAGCTGGTTGAGCGCCACAGGCCGCCCCCGCTGAGGAACCAGGATCCCAGCCCCTCCCCCCTACCTACCGGGTCTCATGTTGTGAACTGTGACGTTTGTTGCTTACATGTCGGGTGTTTTTTTGCATTGGAGTGCTACACCCTGCTGGTGTAACCCTGTTAATGCCTTTTTTTTCTCCCTCCCTGAACTTCCCTCATGTAACACCCTTTTCATCTATCTATTAAGGTAGCACGACTCATGTTGCGAATGACCGCAGTCACAAATTCTTGTTATGTGTCTTACCCACGTATGTCTGATCTTTGAATTGTGTGTGCTGAAACTGAATTTCATTTCTCTGTATGTCCTGCACATGTGGAGAATATGACAATAAATGACTTTGAACTTTTTTTTTTAACTTTGGTTATGTTCTGGTGACGTGTAGAACTTGGGAGAGCAGGCTGCTGCCTGAGAGGTGGTTGGAGACGGAGTGTCTCCGTGCTGCTTTGTTTTGGCACTTATGTGCGTGAGGCGAGTGGTGTTACGACTCTTCCTGGGGAGTTTGGCTCATGAGCAAAAAGGAAGGGACAATAACGGGATTTAAAAGTTAAAATGATGATCAGGTTTATTTACAACTACAAAAAATCATAAATCTTTCCATCCACAGGTTGGGAATAATAAAACTAATTCTGCCTGTGGGGAATTAAAACAAAAGTACAAATAAGTAGGGATGTCCCACTGGGCAAAGATTACAGGGTTCTGGACCAAAATAAGGATCTCCAAAGGTCCAAACTCTAAACAGGGTGGTCAAACCAAACTCACGGTGATATTTTAAACTAAACCGAAAACCCACAACACTCTAAATGTAATAAAAGGGAGATCTGCGCCACAAAAAACGATGAACTCTAAACCAAAACATAACAGCTTATCCCAACGCAAGAAGCTGTTAGCGAAGATGCTAACAGTAGCTTTACCAACGTTAAGTTCAAGTTTCCAAGTTTAAATAAACCAAAAACACCCAGCAGCAAACAGACCAGCACGGAGGAGAGACTGCTACCACCAAAACAGCTCTCCTAGTGTCTGAAAGAAGCTCCTTTATGAAGGGAGAAACACTCCCGGTGGTTTTCTACATCTGCGATAGACACGGAGCAGCGCATCTGATCCCGGAAGTTGTTGTCCGTTGCCGGGAGACGAAGGCGGGCAAAACAAGAAAGGAATCTAGTAGCGGACGGACGTTGTTCCGGGTCTTCAGTATTTGGCGGAGATGTTAGTGAAGGCGGAGAAGAGGGCGAACTAGAGGAAAAACAGGCAGATTCCTCCTCTGTTTACAAACTCCTGGGGATTCAACAAGTGGGCGCGGTGCGTCGACTACCGGATCTGACGTCGACGAATTTTTAGAATCGAGTCGTCGACGTCATCGACGCTTCGCTACAGCTCTACTAATGAACATTTGCATGCGTGCTTAAGAATGGCCGTAACCCCGTTCCACCCAAAGTTTCAAACGTTAGCTGCAAATGCAAACTTCTCCCACTGAAGTAAGAGCCAGTGATGTTTTGCAATAAGGTGCGAGTTACTTTGTGTTGTGGGTCAAAAATATTTTCTGCACAGTTTAAAGCAGTTGCTATTTTTTCTGAATAGTGTTTTCATTTTTAGGTAAATTGTTCGCACCTGAAAATTGATTTATCTGTAAAGAAATGTCATCATTTCAATGTCAAATAGTTTTTTTTTCCTTTAATGTTAATACCTCAACTGAATTGCACTTTTCTACTCAGCAGATAATTAATTGGGCACCAATAATTATTTACACCGTGACTGTCAAGAATATTTTCTGCACAATTTAAAACACTATTGATTTTTTCAGGAAATACTTTGAATTTTAGGTGACTTGGTTGCATCTTTAATGCTGGTTAAGGTACGGTGGATATCGTTATTTCATTTTCTAATAGTTTTTCTCTTTATTATTAGAACTTCAACTAGATTGCACTTTTCTGCTCTGCAGATGATTAAGTGAGCATATGGAAAATTGATGATACATTGTGGTGTTTTTCAATTATTTTCTGTGCAACTTAAAGGACTTAGTTTTCCAGACTGTACTTTAGGTTTTAGGTGAATTGTTTCACCTTAATGTTGATTTGTGTGCAATATAATTTCAATGTCACCTGTTTTTTTCCATATCAGTACTTCCAGTAGATGGTATTTTCAGCTAGCCAGATGATTTAATGAGCGTATGAATAATTGTTCTAAGTTGAGACAAAAATCTATATTGTTAATCACATGTTGAATAAAACTGAAAGAAAAATTTTGCTCGACTGATTTTAAATCTTCGGATCCAGGATAAATGTGGTGATGTAGGTAGTGGACCTCTTGCTGTTTGGTTGGGGACCCCTGCGCTAGATCAAACACTAACAACTGTTGAGTTTCTGTCTGATGGCTCAACTAAAGTCACGTCCAGCATGGCAGCAAGTCGTGGAGCCAAACCAAGGAGAGGAGGTGTGATGTCAGCAGGAGGCTGGTGAGCTGGGAGCTGAAAAGGCCCTAAAGGGTTTTGTTTATGGTAAATATGAAGATGTTAACATTTAATAGTTAGAAGCCAAGAGACTGAATGCATTTTAGATGATGTCAGATGTGAAAATCAACCAAAAAATAATTAAACTCACATCTAGCACCACATGTCAGTATCGGCAATAAAAAAACATCAGTCGACCTCCTTTTTTTGACTAATGTAGACACACACACACACACACACACACACACACACGCACGCACACGCACACCAGTACCTGTGTCCATGCTGATGGATGATCCTGAAGTGGTAGCAGGTTTTCTTTAGCCGTGTTTAGCTAACAGCTGCAATAGTAACAAAGCAGGAGAGCTGATTAAGATGCTGCTTCAGAACAACGCAGGAGATTAAAGATCCAACGCTTTGGTTCTGATCAGCTGAGGACAGATCCAGTCTGGAAAAGAGGACCTTTGCTCACCAGAGTTCACGGAGTAGAGCTAACCGCTTTTTCCTCCAGAGTCACATTCAGATTCGGGCCTTTTCCGTCGGAGAGTGTGAGCAGGATGGATGAGAGAGCGAGCAGCGATCCTGCATCATGACCAACTCAGATGAGCGAGTCTGATAGAGGGAACCTCTTCAGTCTGATGAAAGCAGCAAAACGAGCGCGTTTCTCAGAGAGGCCAAAGGAACAGCAGCAGATCCAGAGTGCAGGAAGTCTAGAGAAAAGCTTTTCTGACCCACAACCTGATCCTGGAGCTCCAATTGTCACGAAGACCGCAGAATATCTTCTCTGCTTCTGGAAAGAACTCCACCAAGTTGTTGAGGAGGAGAAGAAAGTTTCCACAGCCTGGTGAGAAGATTTCTGCAGCAGCAGCAGTTAGTCGCTTTAGCTGATCAACTCTCCCAGAGACTGAAGTGAAGACGTTTTTACTGCGGAGCCTCAAATCTTCTCCTCACACACCACAACAACAAGCTAGCTCTGCTAGCAGCTTCCGGTTTCTGCTTCTTCCGGTGGTCGGTGACCAGCGTAAAGGTGCACTACCGCCACCTGCTGGACTGGAGGCGCACATAGCAATGACGATACCACCTGATGACATTACCTCTTCCTGGCCAAGGCTACACTCCCTAAAAGTGAGTGAAGTAAAATCATCTTTGGGTGTGAATGTAATCAAGGCTGAAGAGACATTTCAGCTGTTAGATTAAGGTGATAAAAAATGAACACACATCGAGTAAAGAATATCTTCTCCAGGTCAGAGATGAAGTCCTGCTCCAATTGGAGGAGTTTAAGTATCTCTGGGTCTTGTTCACGAGTGAGGGAAAGATGGAGCGCGAGATCGATAGGCAGATTGGTGCATCTGCAGTGATGCGGGTGTTGTACTGGTCTATCGTGGTGCAGAGAGAGCTTCGCCTTCTTGCTCAGCTCTCGATTAACTGTTCGATCTACGTTACCCTCACTTATGGTCACGAGCTTTGGGTAGTGACCAAAAGAACAAGATCGTGGAAACAAGTGGCTGAAATGGGGAGAAGATGTGTAGCAGCACAAGAGGTCCCAGAACAGGGGAGGAGTCCAAGACCCCACCTTACATATACGGTCATATACAGACAGTCACACACTCCCTCCCTCATGCCTAAGACTTAAATGATAAATGACTCGCACTTGTATAGCGCGTCTCAGAGTAAGGACTCCAAAGCGCTTTACACTACAGTGTATCATTCATCCATTCACACACACATTCACACACTGATGGTGATGAGCTACAGGGTAGCCACAGCTGCCCTGGGGCGCACTGACAGAGGCGAGGCTGAAGAGACATTCCAGCTGTTGGATTAAGGTGTCAAAAATAAATGCTAGTCACCCACTCACGGCCGAGAGGATTTTGGAAAAGTATGCGTTTCTGGAATTTCTTACAGCATTATTGTATGTTTTTAGTAGTTGTGAATATATCTGATGATTTATTGTTCTCTTGTTTTTTCTGCATCTTCTCTCCGCCACTCTGCAGTTTGTCTTTAGTTTTTTTAGGTTTTCATTTCTCCAAGGTGATGTATGATTTGACTGTAAGTTTTTGGTTTTGAGTGGAGCAAGCTAGTTAAGAGCTGACTCAAGTCTTCTGTTAAAATCATTGATAATAAAACCACAAAGGGCGGAGACGTTAGTTGGAGAGATATTGTTAAAAGCTTTAAGAAAACCAGCAGCCACTTCAGGGGTTAGATGACGCTTCCTTACAGTTCTCACAGAGGGCGCACACGGGATAACGCTGGTGATGTTAAAAAAATACGCAATAGTGATCGGACACTGCCAAGTCGACAACAGAGGACACATCAGTGGACAGGCCATACGTGATGACCATGTCCATGGTGTGTCCTCTGTTGTGAGTTGGCTGCATGACATGTTGGGTAAAATCCATGTAATTCAAGATGTTTAAATCATCTGTGGCTCAGAAATAAATTTGTCAGGGTTTTACTTTAAACAACTGCTTTCATTGTCTTTTATTATTCACCCAGGAACACGTACACAACACTTCTCAAACGGTTTTGAGCTCAAGGTTCATCAAATGGAACAAAATCACCACAAACAATTAGTTTTCTGTCAAGGACTTTAGCAGATTTACATTTTTAGATTTTTGTCCGAGGATCGTGTTTGTTTGTTTTGTTTTGTTTTGTTTTGGAGCTGCGTTCGGAGTAAACACCGCCAGTATTTAACCCCGTTAAAACTAGTGTTAGTAACTGTTATGGACCCCTTTTTAGGCTCGCTAGGAATGTGAGATCAGTAACATAAGTAAGACGAGTCAACAGTTTAGTTATAGAAAAAAAACCTATTATCTTGAAAGTCGCGGTGGATTTAACCCAATTTGTGCCACTGGACTTAAAAACAAACAGAACTAAACAGTGAGTGAATATTCCGTCAGAATGGAACAATCTAGCTTAACCCTTTTAGGACGGGAATCAAACAAGAGTAAGTAGTAGTAACAACCAAAAGGGCTTAAGTGTCCCTGAAGGAGACACTAAACTCAAAGCCCAAGTCACCAGTGGTGGCTGGTCCATAGGGGGCACTAGGGCACCGCCCCACCAGTCTCACGAGAAGAAGAAGAAAATAGGAATCACAAAATTTAAAAAACAACAATAAAATTAAAGGGACTTTACGGAGTTTTGAATTGTTATGCTTGCGATTGCCCCCTCAGGCCAAAAGCGTAATGGCAGCTTCAATAGTAGGCTCGTGCACGAGGCGCGCATGCTGTACGTGCACACTCCTTAATGAAAATGACAGCTGAGACAGTCCCTTGTGTGTGTGTGTGTGTGTGTGTGGCCCGGAGGACAGAGGACAGGAGAACACACAGCTAATTAATTAAAAAATTTGGTTCTGTACCTTTCTCTTCAGCACAGCCGACAAAGGTTTAAGATGGGTCAGTCCTCCTGCATGCTCAGATCATTCCCTTCCCTTGCTTGAAAAATTGTTCCAAAATGAAAGTTGAACCCACATCTTTTTTTATCTGTGAATTCAATGCCGTTCGGCGAGTCTCAAATAAAAATTTGGGCATCTTACTGTAAAAAATATACCATTAATGTAAAAAGAAACTGTGAATAAATTATGTTAACACCCTTGTGTGTGTGTGTGTGTGTGTGTGTGTGTGTGTGTGTGTGTGTGTGTGTGTGTGTGTGTGTGTGTGTGTGTGTGTGTGTGTGTGTGTGTGTGTGTGTCTGCTCTGTCTTCTCGATCCCCAGTAGTCGTGGAGGATGGCTGCTTATACTGAGCCAGGATTCTCTGGAGGTTTCTTCCTGTTAAAAGGGAGTTTTCCTCTCCACTGTCGCTGCATGCTTGCTTAGTATGAGGATTGCATCAAGTCACTGACACTAGTCAGTGACTTGATGCAATTTGCTGGGTTCCTTATATAGGAAACATTATTTCTGATTGGCTTCATGAACTGACCTGAATTGGAATGTTTATTATGTGAAGTGCCTTGAGACGACTCTTGTCGTGATTTGGCGCTATATAAATAAAATTGAATTGAATTGAATTAACACCCGGAATCAAACCCAGGTCTCCTGCACAAGAGTCTGATGTCTTACCAGGTGAGCTATAGTACCAGCGATATATTGTTGATCTGTAACATTTCTATGGTTGATGACAGCTGAAACAACGTTCAAAGAACGGTTCAGAGCGAAAATGGCTATTTTGTTGCTAATTTGCAGGAAATATCTTGAAGAAAGTTCTACAGAAAGTAGCTAAGGGTCCTCAGAAATGTAGCTAGCTTTGTCACTAGGCGTTAGGAACAGTGACAAAGACTAAAGCTATGGATAGCAAACGCTACGGGCTATGCCTGAGCGTGAACGTGCATGAAGAAGCCTGCTCGACCCGAGCATCTCTCTTTTTCTGTGATTTTACAGGAAAAACAGGCAATCACAGTAAAAATGCCAGGGCTCATTCTACAGGACCAGGGCATTGCAGGATGCAGTATGAAGAAGACATTTATTATTTCTATACATGTTTTGGCTGTCAAACTTCCATAATGCCCCTTTAAACTAAACTATTTCTGCATCATAAAGACTACAAGTGCTGTGTGTAGTCTGCATTTAAGTATAGTTTAAAAATGTTATTTACACTTTTAACACTACCGAATCATCTTGTGATGTTTTTCCTGGTTTTATTTTGGGCGCAGCAATGGTCGTGTTCGAGATGTGGCAGTTCTGCACAGATTAGATCACCGGTGATCGGTGCGCAGTGCACACCGGGTTAGATTTGTGTCTGACTTGACGCCAACTTGTTCCTTCATTGTATACGGTTCCTTCAGAATAAAGCTGAACCAGCTCCGACTCCCTAAGAGTCCTTCCACAGATGCAATCTTGTCGTGTCTACGTACCTATGGTGGTGGTTCTTCAGTTTTAACAGTTTGTCCTGAATCCAGCACACTTTGGTCACCCGGAACAGCTCGAGGTGGGCTGCTGGGCTGTTTGGCTGGTGTGCCCACTGGTTGCATTTCTTGTGGTGCTGTGTCATCTGGAACAGGTTGCAGGCGTCTCCTGTTTCTGCGTGTTACTGTCCCATTGTCTATTTTCACAATATATGAACGTGGCACATCGCATGTGCTGAGGACTCTTGCTGAAGTTTTCCACTCCTTTTCTCCATCCAACTTTACTCTGACATTCTGTCCAGGAAGTAACTCAGGTAGAGGTCGAGCTGAGTGGTGTCGGTCATGGAAGTACCTGTAGGATGATTTAGTTTGGGTGTCCATCTGCAGAATGTCTTGTTTATTCTCAGATTTGCTCCGCATTTTGTCTCTGAGCATTGGTAGCGTCGTTCTAATGTGTCTTCCCGTCGTGATCTTTGCTGGGCTCACTCCCGTTGCAGTACTTGGGGTCGCTCTGTAACACATCAGAGCCAAATGTGGGTCTGCTTGCTTTAGGATGTGTTTTGCTGTCTGAACAGCACGTTCTGCAGCACCATTTGCTTGGGGAAAATGTGGGCTTGAGGTTATGTGATTGAATCCGTACTCCTCATAGAACTGCTTGAACTCATCTGAAGTGAATTGTGTTGCGTTGTCGCTGACCAACTCCAGTGGTATGCCCCATCGTACAAACATACGTTTCAGTCGGCCAATGACCTGTCTACTCGTGGTGCTTGGCAGGCAGCCAATTTCGATGTCTCTGGAATAGTAGTCAGTCACTATCAGATAATTTTGCTTCTCTAACTCACACAGGTCAGCTGCAATCCGCTGCCAGGGTCCATCTGGTAGGGGTGAAGTGAGCAGCGGCTCGTGTCTTTGTGAAGGCTTGTTTTGAATGCAGAACTTGCATGTATTTACAACCTGTGTGATATCTTTGCTGATGCGAGGTCACCACATCGACATTTTTGCTCTGGCTCTGCACTTAGTTAACCCTTGATGTCCCTCATGAATGCGGTTCAAAACGTCGGGGCTCAGAGCTGCAGGGATGACTAGTCTGTCCTGATACAATACTAGTCCGTCAACCTCTGACAGTTGTGATCGTGCTGGAAAATAGCCATGCAATTCAAGATGTAGTGAGTGTTTTGGTGGCCAACCCTTGTGTATGAGGCTGATGACTCTTGTTAACTCCTCATCCTGTTGTGTTGCTGATCTGATTTCTTCCAACTTTTGTGGCAACGCCGGCGTATTTGACAGAATAGATTGTAGATAAACTTGTACCTCTTTGTCTGTGCTGTCGATGCTGCCATCCGAGTTGTTCAGCGGGTTCCTGGAGAGGGCATTCGCGATGACCATTTGTTTGCCCGGCACATGCTCTGCCACCACCTGAAACCTCAGAAGACGTATTAGTAGTCTTTGCACTCTGGGTGGAGCCTTGTCCAAGTCATATGTGTTTATCAAAGGGACTAATGGTTTGTGATCTGTTTGCAGCCGAAAACTGTCCATGCCTTGAACATAACGTGCAAACCTCTCACAGGCCCACACCCCAGCTAAACACTCTTTTTCGATTTGTGAGTATCTGTGTCTGTTAGTGTGCTGGAACAGAAAGCTACAGGCTTTAACTTGTCCTCATGAACCTGCAGTAATGTCGCTCCTAAGCCAAAACTGCTGGCATCTGCACTGACAACAGTCTCACGGTTTGGGTCGAAGTACACAAGTGCTGGTGCTGACACAAGCATGGCCTTTACCTCTTTGAAAGCTTGTTCTTG